CAGTGTCTCACAGCAGCTGGGCATGCCTGCCTCCAACACTCCTTACAAAGCCCCTGGAGTCAACAGGGGACCCCAGCAGAAGCGCAGTGTCACAGCAGGGGGAGAGGGGACACTGTAGTGTGAACACTCCCCTCATCCCCTCTGTTTTGCCACCAGCGAAGGAGTGGATGCCCAGTGGGAAGTTGCACTCTTCTGCTCTCAGGTTTTCTGTTCTGCTTCCTGAAGAGCCTGACTTGATACTTTGCCTTCACGCTCACCGCGAGGTTACTTTCACTGATGAGGGAGAAGACTTGCAAAATAAGCCAGGGCCGTGGTGAAGCCCAGATAGTCGCTTTTCCATATGCAGCTTGTTAGGGCTATAAACACACAGCTCCTGCCTAGGCCACCAGCTGTGGGGGCTGAGCAGCTCCTTGTGTCTACTGGTGGGCCTGACTTGATACTTTGCCTTCACGCTCACCGCGAGGTTACTTTCACTGATGAGGGAGAAGACTTGCAAAATAAGCCAGGGCCGTGGTGAAGCCCAGATAGTCGCTTTTCCATATGCAGCTTGTTAGGGCTATAAACACACAGCTCCTGCCTAGGCCACCAGCTGTGGGGGCTGAGCAGCTCCTTGTGTCTACTGGTGGCCATGGGGAAGGGGCTGTAGGCTGCACCCAGGCACCCTGTTTCCCATGGGAGCAGGACAAGCCGCACGAGTGGAGAAGAGGGCCTGTGTTGCAGCACTCTGCTCATCTGGGGAACCTCTGACCTGAAGGCACTGGACAAGGCACACATTTTAGGTGGTTGGCAAACCCCGAGGACAACATGTTCTGCCCTCATCTCAAGCTGCCAGGGGCAGGGAGAGGCCTCAGAGACCGGGATGCCTCTTGAGGGAGCTGCTGCTAACCCAGGCACCCCACATCAGCAGGACCTGCACCTCCTTTGGGGTGCAGCTGCCCTGCGAGGCTTGAGCTGGCTGTACCATAGCCCAGGTGACAGAAGGCAACGTGGTGACAACTCACAGGTCCCGGGAAGTCTGGACTGGGAGATACCCCCCATCCCTGTGCCTGAGGGCAGAGGTCGGCGTGCCCGCGGGGCTGGCAGGCAGAGCCTGCTGCGTGCCCTGCGGTGCCCCACGAGCGCGTGTGCAGTCCAACCAAGGGCAGAGCTGAGCTTTCGGGAGCAGGTAGCGGGAGGGGGCTGTTTCAGGCAAGGCACTGGTGCCCCGCAGGGGCTGCGTGGCAGCGATGGGCAGCCAGCCCCACTCTGCTCTGAGCCCCGTGGGGAGTGGGGGAAGTGCCCAGCAGGAGTGCTGAGGGGCCGACAAGGGGAACTGGGGACATCCCAGCCCCGCTCAAGGGCTTGCGGCACCTACAGATGCCACAGCTCAGGATCTCAGGCTTGTGCTGCCCTGAGCAGAGGCAACTGTAGGGCCGCAGGGCTCAGCCAACAGCTCCTCCACCCCTTCACTCGGCCTCCTCCTGCCCATGCCTGCTGCAGCCCAGCGAGCTCAGCACTGGCCCCAGGAAAGCTGTTTGTTCAATAAATACAGACAGTGAAAAGAGGCATTGGAAAAAGAAGGGAAAAACCAAACACCAAACCCTCTTTGGGTTTGCGCAAGTGGCCTTGGGTCCCAGACAGTATTGATCCCTGAGTCTTCCACCCTGCCTGTGCAGCAGCTGGGTCAGTGGGAACCCTTCCGAGTCCTGGAAGCAGCAGGGCCTGGAAGCCTGGATCCCAGCACGGTGGCTGCTGCAACCGGATAGATGCAGGTCCCCCCTGCAGCAGGGCTCTGGGGGAACGCCTGCCTCAGGACGCATGGGCAAACACTGTCTCCTGCTATCGGCTGTTCCATTCGTGCTCAAGGTGTCACAGGTCCTCCAGGGCAATGTGGATCCTGGCCCTGCCCAGCTAGAGCTTCTCATGGCTCTGACCACCCCATCCTGATCCTGGAGTGGGACACCAGATGCAAAGCCATCCTTCAAGCCAGATGGGGAGAGGGTCTGACACCACCCTCCTCCCTCTGCAGACTGTCTTCCCACCTGGTTCAGCTCTGTCTCCTGCCTCTGGGGTGGGGTTGACAGTGCTTTCAGGGTGGACGATGGGACTGCAGTCATCACCCCAGCCAACTGCATGCCCCAGGAGCTCCCCTTGTGAACCTCTTTCCCACTCCCAGCACCCTCTCCCTGCTTTCTCAGCCCTCACACATGGGGGACACATGGGAAGCAGTGGAGAAACCCTAACACGAGATTACGTAATGGGGCTGCTGTGTCAGAGCCGCCCTTTGCCCCCAGCTCTCACGGCACTGACATGTCCCACTTTGCTGCCAGCCAGGCTGGCAAGGGGCAACGAAGGGGGCAACTGCTCCAGGCCGTTGGCCAGAGATGCGCCAAGAGGTCGTTCCCTACTGAGGATGCTGGCGTGGAGTTGTAGGCAAGGGTGGGTCCTGGGCACCGTGGCTTTGGTGGTCTTGCCTGGAGGCTTCTGTCTGCTTTAAAAGGCAGAAGAATTGTTCAGTTTCGTCATGACTTGGGACAAGAATGGCCAAATACAGATGGTTTTGCTGGAATGGAAAATTTGGCCCAACCAAGGAATGGCAGCTTCCCTAGTAGGAATCACAAACCCCCTGCGTCTCCAGGGGCTTCCATACCATGCCCTGGATCTGGCTGAGACAAGTCAGGAGTTCTGCATTCCCTCAGCAAAGGCAGCCAAGGGGCAAAGAGCATGAGAGCTACGGGGGCCAGCAGCATTGCACTCTTTGCGCACAGTGCGTCCTGGTGGCGGATGCCCAACCCTGCTGCCGGGGTTTTATAACCGAGTCGTTGATTAGAAGAGGACTGTGCATGGCAGAGCGGGTCAGTCCTGTGCCATCTTGGAGCTGCCTGTGCTAGGGCACATCCACACCTTGCACCTGGAGGAGAGGTGGAAGACGTGCTGGCTAACGACAGGGCACACATACGTGTACACATGCATGTGCACACACTACAGCTGGGAGTCTTTTTATTGAGTACCAGGTAGCTGGGGATGCTTGGAGAGGGAGACATTTTCCTCCCACTGGGATCAATTTCCCCTTCCTCACCGCCCTCAACCTCATGTCCAGCTGAGGAGTGGGGTCCTGTGGACATCCCTCTCCCCTCTGGCCTAGCCATCCCCCAGCATCTTTTCAGCTTCTATCTCTCCCAGCAGGCTGAGGTGGCTGCTGCCGAGCACATGTTCTTGTTGCAGCACTGAGGGCTGCACCATGACCTTGGTCTGGGACCAGGAGCAGGGCGAACCAGGGCTGCCCTGAGCTGCCCGGGGAGTCATGCTCTGCAGAGTCCTGCAGGCAGAAGGGTCTGGTGTCCATCAGGAGCCAGTTTCAGAGGCTGTGGCTCATGGGCAGAGAGGAATCCATGGGCAGATTTGAAGGGGGAAAAGAGCCGTGTGGGAGGTGAGGGAGGAGAGGACTTGCAGATTCAGCATCACCCTTGATGCTTCAACCTCAGGAGGAGAAAACACCTTGACAGCGTTCCCATCTCTCAGCAGCTCGCCGGGTCTCACACTGCCAGAAAGGGGCTGAGAGAAGGGGAGCCCTGCACAGCACAAGTCCTGCCCTCCTGCCTCCTCAGGCAGCCGCTCAGGTACAGCCACAGGCATCGACAATCATGTCGGGGATGTCGGTCTTGATGATGTTGCTGTCCCGGTCATAGTACAGCAGAGAGAGGGGGCGACGCTGCGTGGGCACGCAGCAGGAGTCCACGGCCGCATCCGCGTTGTTGGCTTTGATGAGGCTGAGGACGGCCGTGTGGAAGGAGGCGGCGAGGCCAGGGATGCCAGCCATATGCAGCGGGCAGAGCCCCGCGCAATAGTTCATGTGGTATCCCTCTGGCTGGATGATCCAGTCCTCCCAGCCAATCTCCTTGAAGTCCACAAAGAATTCCTTGCGGCAGCACATCCGAGAGTCCCCGCTGCAATCAATGCCGCGCCGCTGGACCCGGTGGGGCGTCCTGGCCCGGGCCTGCGCTGCCACAAATGGCCAGTAAGAATCACTGTGGCCAGCCAGGAGGGG